TACAAGTTATGCGTGTTTTTAAATATAAACTTAATCTAAACAACGTTCATATTAAAATAAATACATAACAAATTCGTTAGAAACCCTATAGAGATTATCTGCTATTGTGAACTTCTCAGTCTGTTGAATGATTTTTGATGACACTTCTCCACATCTAAGTCGTGGACAACAATCCTCCATTCTGCTGATGACTCTACATCAAATAACTTGCTAAGTTGTTCCTGTGAATGTTATGAAATGTCGTTTGATGACAAGAGGTCTTCACACCAGAATTTGCAAATGACAGTTTCCATGAGAAAACGCCCACTTAATCATTCCGTTTTTAGCTAAAAGGATTTGGGGTTTTATGTAAATTGAACAAAATTATAGATGATTTAGTTGCATGCTGATTTTATTGAATATATAATACCTCTATTGGACTAGGGATTCTCTATTGGTTCAGGTGATCCTTTTTAGTTTTTATATTACTGAAATTGGCTTGCAATTAATGCAAGTCACTCACAATAATTTTTGTAATAGATATGCGTGAGTACTCCTATATTTATAAATTATTAGAATTTGCTTAATCTTACATCAACCTCTTCCACACTTTACAAGCGCTTTTAATATGAGATTTGGGTACATTAAAGTTATTGGATTTTTAAAACGTCCTGCTACTAAATGATGCGGCTTGTGCTAGGATTCAGCGCATGTGTGTGTTTGTGTGTATGGGTATCTGCAAAATAGAAAATAACGACTCATGACAAACTTTAAGCGGCTAAGCAAGTGCAATTATAAACTGAATTCGATGGCTTGAATCTGATTCAAAACACAGGTCGTGTTACTAGTACTTCTGAAATTATTACTACTCTAATCGTACTCTGATGGGTACGAGTTCAAGGTTGACCTGCGTCATGCTTTTGTGTCCTTGGGTAAGACACTGTCCAACTTGTTCCAGTCTATCCAGCTGTATGATGGACACCAGGTGTTAGTTATGGAATAGACTGGCATTCCGTTCAGGGGTCACAATTTTCATCCACTTAAATGATACTATAAACTGAATTCGATGACTAGAATCTGATTAAAAACGCAGGTCATGTTACTTGTATGTTTCTGTAATTATCACAAACATATCTAATATAACGAAACTATGTATAAATTATATTTGGTGGCTAGATCTGATTAAAAATGTAGCTCATGTTATGTTTCTGTAATTGTCACGCATAACTAATAACAGAGTAAATTATTTTGGCTTTTCTCCCATCCCAACAAAAATTGGTAATTCTGTGTATAAGTCAGCAAAGTAAACACTAGCAAGTGTTCACTACTTTCCACATCATTTGTAAATTACGTGGGATATGTAGCAGTTGTAATATTAAGACATGTATGTATTATTACAGCGTCAACATTTTTGATTTATATGTGTTATTGCGTAAGATTCTGAATAAGAGATTGCGAAGGATGTAAGACGAAAACGGATGTTAGATTCGGTTTTTCTACCATGCATCTTTGTGATTGAACGTAAATCGTCTGAACAATGATATATTCTACTACGGTGTATAGATATCTATTGAACCCTGACTTTTTCATTTCATGTTATAACTCGATCGGCTGTAGTCTTTATGCACTGTTTAATAGTGATGCCATATTTCAAGGCAAATTATTTTTAAGGGTTTTGTACAGGCAGGTTATTGGCCTATTTTCTACTGTTGTATTGAAATGGGAGAGGGGAGTTATAATGGTTCATCAACTTCGTTTTCAATAAGCAATCAATAAATTACGGTATTATGTAAAAATAAAATAAAACAAACTGTTAAAAACAATTTATCCGTATACCACAAGACGTTACACCTTTGTTTGTTTTTCGTAGTTTTAATTTGGTTGTAACCTATACATGTAAAAGCAAACTAAACTGTATGATCGATTTTGCTCTGTAAGATTCACAACATATGTTGGGAATTTTTTAGTTTAGACCTGCGTTTTCAGACGTGTACGTGTGCAAGTGTCTAGCTTAGGATAACCTTGAAACAAGTGTACAAGATCACAGAATAGGTATATCACTGCTGGTATGAAGCGCCACTGTCGCATCCGAAATTGAAAAAGATATATACATCAGAGGGCGTGTTTTAATTTACTGCCAAACTGATTTAATTTATCCGAAATATGTTGTCAGTTAGACCTTTGGTAATCCAAATAGGTGAAATCGATAGCGGCACTGCAAGTAAATCTAACACGTAGAGATTCTTTGTCTTAAATAAAATATGTATTTATATTTTTATACAAATGCTGCGCCAATAGTAAACTAAGAAATATGATTTAATGTGTACAAAATTAAGCGTTAAACTTCTGTTCTGTGAAATTAAAAATATTACCAAAATGGTAGAGTAATGGGTAAGTAATTAACTAAACCTTGATATTTTTAGTGAAACAAGTTCACCTATTACGACTTTCTGCGCGTCCAAGCGACATTGTGAAAGTAATAGAATAGGCCTATTATATCTTTCTGCGCGTCCAGGCTACATTGACTAGACTTTAGTACGATCTATGTTGCAGTCTTTGAGACGGAAAATAAATTATTATATTGCTTTTAAAATAACATTAAACAATCTTATGCTTAGGAATATAAAGTAACGATTTGTGTTACTCCTATTTGGCTTAAACTTGTTTGAAAGGCCAAACTTGAATATACCCCAGAATGCGTGATTATTGAATAGAAATTTTAATAATAGAAGGTATATAATAATTACTGTGTTTTACGCTATAAATTAAACCAATATGTATAAGAAAGAAATAATTACTTATTTGATACATTATTCATTATTTCTTTTATATAGCTTGACTTGTGATTTACCTATATTTACAGTTTTTGACCTAGTTGCAGTCTTTATAAGTGAAGAAGAAGGCGAGAAAATTGCTGCCTTAGTTGACAATGGCACTAGGGTTGACATACACATCAGTGTGGGAACACCTAATACCTTCAGATATGCAAATATCAACCGCACTTCGGTCCTTTTTGTTTCAATCTCCTTTATCATCTTGATGATCATATCTTTGGCTTGGCTTGTTTTCTATTATGTCCAGCGTTTCCGTTACATTCATGCTAAAGATATCTTAGCTGTGAGTTCTGTTTGCTTCATACTTTTATCAAGTTATAAACATCGTAATGTCATACTTACAAATATAATGATATTTTCAGTGTTAATACTTTCAATAGTTACTTTTTTTTTTACAAAACATGAATTTATTATAAATTAAAACAACGGTAACTTTATTAGAATTCATAAAAAAACAGTTCTGATGTAACTGTTCACCAAGTGTTAATGTGTGTTATTGATTTGAAATCAATTGTACAAAGAGTAGTAATTGTCTATATATTTGTCGAATCTAGGTAATGAATAAAATATATGTGTACATATATATAACGTCAAATTTTGATATGCAAGTTCTATACGTTTGCCAAGTTCTTGACTGGTATAACCAAAATTGTATACTGTTGCGTATCTGCTTGTATGTTAATTTCCGGTATAAATTCCTTCCGAGAAACTTCAGCGATACAAGTCTTTTCTTGATTAACCCGGTTTATTCTTCCTCGATACAACCTTTTAATACACAATTTCACAGTGAGTACGTACCTCGTAACAACTTTTATAACACACGCTATAAATCACAGTGATTCACACACTTTACTTACGGTGCCTACTGTTCACTTGACTCAATTATCTATCTGCCCGCTGGCTTCCTCTGCCAGGCTTATGTACTAAAGAAAGGGGCGTCTAGAATATACTCGGGCATCCCCGATCATTCATGATCATTCGAGAAATTTCACGCTCGCTATCATCGCCAAACGCCCTAACAGCGTCACGTGACTTCCGCTGTCGTAACACTGCTCCTACCTTAGTATTGTTCGTCCCGAACAATGGCCACTTACATTAAAC